ACGCACACAAAGAGAGAGAGAAGGGGAGGCGAGGGGAACCCGGGGAAGGAGAGGGGAGAGAGACACAAAGACGGCGAGGAATCCGAGGATGATATTACGACAAGCACAACTCCATGATTGTGCTAATGTACGTCAACTTCGTCAAGAAGGATGATTCAAACAAAACATAATTGGTATTAATTGCAATACCGCGAGACATCTCACTATTTCAAAGTAGTCCTGAGTCCTGACTGCAAACATTCATTCAAAGAATCCCTTCTTTTTTATTGGTTATGTAACTTACAATGAATTTGAGACACACTTCAGGTAATAAGTGGATGAAGATTGGGGAAGCCACAAATTAGCAACGGTATGACATTATGAATGCCCAGTGGCCAGTCCAAACACACTCAAACAACAAAGAAGAAAGAGTACATCAAGATAAGACATGGAGTGTAAACTGTAAGCCCCACAGCACAGTTTCACGATTTCATGTCCATTGTCCAGCACCGAAAATTTCAGTGATGAAATCGAACATGAAAGACGAAGTCGCACTGTGCCATAATCATGAAGCCTGATGATGAAGGACAAGATGGTGAGCACCTGACAGGCTGACACATGTGAGGCCGAGTTCACCTGCATTCATCAGAGGAATGCACAACAATGGACAAGACATGGATGTATGACAAGAAAATCAATAGTCATCAGCAAGGCCATGTTTAAAGCACCAGTACACGTCCTGAGTGTCTGGCGGATGGTAGAGCGGGGGCCCGGGGGTCCCCGCTTTAACCTTAAGAAGGGGGGTCCTACCTCCGCCCTACGCCCGACGGGGGTAAAGCAGCCCCGCCAAAAGGAGCTGTGCCAAGCAAGGGGGGCGGCAAGCCCGTTTCAGTGGCATGGGGGCAGAGGACAAAGTTTACAATCATCCGCGTTGACCATGCCACTTGGCATTTGATTCAAGCATTGGACAATGATTCGAACTTCGAAGACTTTGTCGCATTTCTTCAATGCGGACTCAATAACGATCATAACAATATCCTCATGTACCTACGGGTACATCAAATTCTACTTTTGTCATAAACATCGTAGGTTGCTGCTTTTCGCAAATCCCAGTAGGGAACCCCCGCCCCCGGGACCCCGCAGTGCCGAATTTTTTTTTCCGATTTTTTTAAGAAATAAAAAAATTAAAAAAACCGTGGGGTTTGGAAAACTTTGTTTCTGCCAACTTTCTGGCCATCAGACAAAATAAAAAAAAACGTGGGGGTTGGAAAATTTTGTTTCTGCCAACTTTCTGACCATCAGACCCTTTCAAGCAACCGAAAGGCTAGAGGGAATATGCCCACGGGAGGGTGCGCCACACAGGCACACACAGAGAGAGAGAGAGAGAGAGAGAGAGAGAGAGAGAGAGAGAGAGAGAGAGAGAGAGAACATGTAAGTCTCCAACTTCTCTGCTGGCCTCATGGTACTTCCATCGATAGGATGAGTAAAATCGAATAAATTTGCCGCTAGAACATAGAAAATACACTACAAAACTTGTTTGTGTGTGTGTGTGTGTGTGTGTGTGTGTGTATGTGCGTGTGTCCGTATTGTGTGCTCTGTGTGTGTG